GCAACATGATGTTCATCAGTAAGTACCAACTGGCTCTCAAAAATCAAATGAAGGATCAAAAGTACGACACGAATACAACTATGACACAAATGAAAGAGTTTGGATGTGGCTACGTTGGTTATTTCGGTCTCGAATGTTGATGCACTGCTTATTCAGTGTATCTGGTTCTGATCGATTAAAACTGGTGAAAAAATGTCTCATTAATTTATTTGAAACTGCTTTATTTAGATTAGCTATCAATCAGTAATCGCCTTATTTTGATTACATGTGATGTAAGAATGAAAAATATTTCGGCGTGAAATGTACCCTTGTTTTTTTCCAGTTGATGCATTCGGCTTCTAAAAAACGCCTGATATGTGCACGTGCTGCACCTTTGTTTGATATTGTATTGTTATACTTGTTATTTTTCTTCTTTAAACATCTATTTTGCTCTTTTCCTTCATCTGACGCGTTGCAAGGCAATGTGACGTGACGTCATCGTTCGAAGAAGTTTTGCGAACACACCAGACCAAGCTCAAGTGTAAACATCTCCGCTGTTGAAATATGGCTGATACCTTGGTCATGGGAATCGGTATTAGACTCGTGAGCAAAATAATCAGGAATGTCAGCCATGAATACCATTATTTCTCAGACGAGCTGCAATTGCCCTTTTCCAACCAACTTTCCAACCCACTTACCCAAATTATTTAAATAGATAATCATGATCCTTTGTGTCACCAGCACTACTGTTGTTTACGAATTTTTATGAAACATTACTTATTTAGCACAGTTTGCACAGTAGATTGAAGGAGACAAAGCTTGGTAATTATGACTAGGTAGCAGCAGTAATCGGTGCCAGCTGGCGTCAGCTTGTTTAGAAGTTTCAAAATTAACACTTTCGCCTTCACATCCACCTTTTTCGTTTCATACAAAAACCATCAACCACCATATTAGTGCGTCGTATGATCTTTGCTGACTTATCTGGGCCAATAAGGCACTGCATTTTATTAATGGCCAATCAGAGAGTCGTCCTGAAAGCACCCATTGACTTTTCGCCTACATGAACGATTTTACAGTATTTCCCGCGCGGTAAAAAACGTGAGATAGGACCAATAACTAACACCGTTCAACACCTAAATGGAGTTTATAGCGTCATGACATGTAACTTCGTAAAGTGAACTCGAAATTCAAGTCGAAAGTCCGCAGAAACCAACGCCATTGATAATATTTTGCCGAAACTGTCAACACGCGTCCCGAACGGCATCAAAAGTCTCGACGCTGCGTGGGATCGTTCGAAGCTCGATCACATCATGTTCGGGGTGGTGAGGGCAGCTGGCTGATCTCGCCGGCGTGCGATGCCATGTTTTCATTTGTTGAAATTATATTGTTGCTGTTAGTATGGCAAACTGTGGAAGTATCCACAAGTTCGCTGTACATCTGTACATGTTCGAGCGAATTTCCACTGCAAGAGTGACGACCGAACACGATGCCACCACTGATGACGCAGCACAGGAAAGCGAATCCTAATCAGCCGCCTTCACGTGCGTCCGAAACAGACTGCTACGTTGAAGATGGTTGTTTGTACTTAAATTCGCTGTAGTAAGCTGATAAACTGATAAAGTCAACCCTGTATATTAAATTCAATAGGAACAGCTGCATAGGCACCCGCCTTTCGCCGCGTATTGTCTCTGTCAGTGCTACGCGCGCACATCGTGCGTAAACATGACCTGTTCGTGGATTTCACTTTTAGAAGAATCCCCGATTTCGAAGTCCGGGCGCTTTGCGTTTTCTCTCACGGGTGTGTCACCAGTGCTTGGTTGCGTTTAATATCGCCGTGGATGGCTTACTCATTGCGCGTGCTTTTCAGCGCAAGCAGCAGGCTAAATACAGTCGTTGAATAGACACGCCAGGCGGCCGACTACGAAATCTCTGTTCAACGAAGGCTAGTATGTCTGTTACAGCACTTGGGGCAAGGTAGGCTATAGCTAAATTTTGTGATTAGCCACAACACTATCTTTGTCCCGTTTCAAAAAAACAGGACTGAGGCACTCCTGCAGATGGGCAGTAAAGCTTCACTCTAATGCACCACTGTATACATAAGCATTGCAAACCCTAGCAAGAGATATCTCACGCTCGTGATCGCTAGGTTTACAAAGTTAGATATGAGAAAGCTTTGTTTAGATTTGTGGTAATCAAAGCCGAGGTGTTTTTTTTTTTTGGGGGGGGGGGGCACCACTATTTAAATGAAGGTTGGGCAAACAAAAGGTGATTTAGTGCAATGTAAAACTACATAGGACAAAAATTTGGGAGATGGGGCGCTCGTGTTTGGTGGGCGACTCGCTAGCAACACCACTGAACCAAAGATAGCTATGTTCACGCTTTAAATCAGGTGACCTGTAGTCCACACAACAAGCCCCTCAACCACTAGTTTATCGAAATAATTAGTGAGTCGTTGTACAACGTCACTGTGATGAGGACTATCGCTTGAAGTTGAATGAAAGTTGACAATTTCGCTTTGAATACTCCATATAATATTATGTTTAATGTCAGACATTTGCTCCAGCCCAAAAATTTAGGTCAATGCTCTATTTCGTCCTCCTTTTGAACGTAATTTTAACCAAACCTTTCATTTATACATACAATCTCGTATCTTTTGATAAGTTGTGGTCAAGGGAACATACTGTGGAAGTCAAGCACTGACTTTACAGCCTTGCTATGAACTTCACCGCAATGCACCAGTGCAATTGGCAATATTATGTCGATTGGAAACATTGACCTAAGACCATAGGCTTTCACGAAAGATAGTCTACATGAACGTGCAACATCCCCGCAGTTTATTGTGCCACATTGATTAGGATATAGAGATTGGTCTAAAGGCGCAGGGAAGCTGCGACTATGTGCCATAAAAACGCAGGTTGTTGAAGAATGTAACTGCTCCAAGTTGGTAACTACAGGTGGCTAAAATATCCAAGCTTCGTCGGAATACCACATTGATGTTCATCGTGCTAGTTCACTGTGGCAAAGTTTCAGCAAGCAGTAGGCGCACTTTTAAGATTCCTGCTTATGTGGTCCGTGACGAGCCATGTGGGAACCTGAAAGACTCTACATACACAAAAGTATGCCGGTGACCATGTCACGTGCATTTAGAAAAAAAGGATCAAGTGTGGCTATATTATCGAGCTCTTTACCAGCGCCACACATGGGATTGAGTGCAGGCGTGCACTTTCCTGACGCCCGCTGTGTTAAGACGCAACAAACAGCTAGGAGGCCACTTCATCCGCCATGGGGCAGTCTAGAAGCCACATTTCGGGCCCGCTGACCTTTTTTTCCCCGCCAACACTGACTGGTGCATGTTTAATCACGTTCAAACGCAAGTTAACCCAATAAATTCTTTGTGTTTTATTTCGGCCATGATCTGTCTTTTTACTGGTGTGTGGACCGGCCAGCGCACCGTGTCACCCACGCATAGCTCGGTGAGCTCACTCACGAGCCGACTAAGGCAGTCCCCTTCAGACTCAAATAGAGCCGTGAGTCTGAGTTGGAGTGAGTCTGGGTGGGCAATATATTCGTAAGTCTGAGTCCGAGAGAGTTGGGCTCAGGAAACATTTGGTGAGCGTGAGGCCGAGTGAGTCCAAAGCACAAAATATATTTCTTGAGTAATTCTAAGTGATTTTCACTTTCTTTTGCCGAGCTACGGTCCTATATATCTAGTTATCTTGATCATAACAATGAGCCTTACCTAGATTCACGTTTATACACGTCTACTCACGCGTATTCCAAAGCAGCGTTGTTCATACACCGTTTAAGTATTCAGTAATTAGAGGCGTAAATTACGTAGGAGGGTGCCTTGACTTCACCCACCAACTGTTTCAAGGAACTTCTTGAAGATTATATTTTATGCTGTCGTCTCTTCCGTGAAAAATTACCTTACTGATTTGGAGCCACTCAGAACTCGTTTTCAATGGTCCTACGTCAAGCATCATGAAAAGCACAGGTTATGTGAAATATTGGCGTTAAAGAGCATTGACACCACGGTCGAACAAGCTCATTCTAAGCTGACGGACTCGTGAGTTGACTCACTCGTACTCAGACTCAAATCAAATCAGAATCTGAGCGTGTCCAGGTGAGTAATGTTTTGATGAATTTCAGTCCTAGTGAATCCAGCTGAAGACAATTTTCGTGAGCGTGAGTCTGAGTGAATCCAGCTTGGGAAAACTTGCGTGAGTTTGAGTCCGAGTTAGTCCAAAGCTCAAAATATATTTTATAGGTCTGTCTGAGTGAGCCCTACAAGTTTGTCTGACTGTAGCACCTACGGGACAATATTTATTTCCCAAGTGTCCAAGTATGTGAAGGAAATGCTGCTTTATGATCCCCAATCCTGTTTAAAGCGTAGAGTTGTTGACCTGACAAAGGTGGGACCTTTGTCATGAAACACGTCAGAGAACCAGGGCGTAATCAGCATTACAAATGTTTTTATGGGTATGCCCAAGTGACCCCTTGAGTTGTGTCAGCGCGTGTTCTTTGCAAAAATGAGTCGGTGCAAGACTAGCAAGTGTACCGCTTTGAAAAATAAAGAGAAGGCAATCGCTCAAGTGAAAGAGCCTTAAATGTCGCCCATTCATAAATTGCTTTTCCCGCATTGCTATTTGGTGTCGTTTAAAGTGTAGAAAAAAGTAGTGAAGTAGAGAAGGCAGAAAACAAGTTTCAAAACTTCGTTTTAGGACGTCTTTGGGCACTGTGAGCTTGCAGCCACTTCGGGCAGATAATTGATCTAGTCCTATAACAAGAACAATGGAGGTGATCTCCTTTGACATCGAGCAGCCCTTAATAGATGTTTCGTGAAAAGAGTGACTGGCGTGTTTAGCATTAGTAAAGGCAATTTAAAATGTCCCACGAGTCCGTCGACGTTATTTTGCTTGTCATTTCTTGCTGACGTACGTCGACTGGGACAGGCAGTATCGGGCGCACAGCTGACCGTAGAGTATTTATGCTGCGATCGATGTCGAAAATGCAAGCAGTGACATGTGGAGTGGCTGAAGATTGTTTTGCAAAGGTTCCCCTGCGAGTCGATACAAAACGTTCAGTATAACAGTGCAAGATAGGTGAGGGCCGCCTTGCGTTTGCTTCTGTTAAAGGGTTCATGAGGCCCAGTTTTCCGTCACAATCTCTGTTCTGTGCGTTGATCCCTGTACGATCACAAACAAGCTGACCAAATGTTTGCGCATTTTGTCGTGCCGTAAGTTTAAAATAGAATATTTTTACAAACGAGCTAGCTGCCTAAGAGTTGGGCTACACTGACGCACTTGCCAGCCTTAGTCGACGTAACGAGCCTCTTGCTGTATGAGCTGCCGCATGAGCTGCATTATGGAGGACGACCGTGTTGCGTGGTCAGCTGCGCTTGCAATCGAGTTTTTCTGTGTTGTTCAGTTTGCCAATAGAATCAAACTACTTGCAGCGGTTGAAACGATATCATGGCGTCGTCCGTATAGCGTTAGTAGTAGCAGCAAGCATTTTTTGTCAATCTGCTTGACATTTTTTGTCAATCTGTCAATCATTCCTAAAGGAGAAAGTGTCCGGTGAATTTGCACCACGTAAGCCGTTTGCGGCTACAGATACATATTTATTGAAACTCATCTCAGGCAGTGCCATGATTAAACGTAAAACGTGCACTTCTTTTTACCGGAACCAAATGCAATCGACAGAGTTTAAGCAAAGGTTCCGCAAAATATAAATCGTGAGTAACTTTAGCGCGGCACTGACATGCCGTTTGATTGATTGATTGATATGTGGGGTTTAACGTCCCAAAACCACTATATGATTATGAGAGACGCCGTAGTGGAGGGCTCCGGAAATTTAGACCACCTGGGGTTCTTTAACGTGCGCCCAAATCTGAGCACACGGGGACATGCCGTTTGCTTCGGCTAATGTTTACATACACCGCATGCAACAACCGATGGAAAAAAAATCGCAGCATATCCACTAAGTGAATGATGATGAGTGCGCGAAGCTTCGGAGGTACATCGGTAAGCCGCGAAGCCACCGCAAACCTTGCCCAGTCGATCGTCATGTAGAGATGCGACAAACACTTTGTGCGCGTTTCACCACTGCTTCGTCAGCTCTGAGGCCAGGATTGTCTTGCTGGCGCTTCCGTGCAGCCTCGGATTCGCACGCTCTCCTTGCAGCGCGTGCTGAAGCCGCTTTCCGAGCCCTGCGCTCCGCCGTTTTGGTCGCTCATATACTCGAAGCACACATACTGCAGGCGAATGAGGAAGCGCATCAACAGCGAACGGATAGCTGCGCCTCTAGCGGGCTCCTATCACAATAGGGCATGTATCAGAATTGAGCGAGTGCTGCAGCACTGTCTAGGGAGCGACCCGAGTACTAGCGGTGCGAGCGCCACAGCGCCATCGCCATCATCATGGTGCTGACTACAATGGACCACAGCGGTGGACAAGCCTACACCTTAAGCAGTTTCGCCCCTAAAACAGTGGTCCCAACACGCAGCATTGTTAGGGCCACTTGTTTATTATGCTAAGCACCGAAAGTCGTGCATGGACGTATGCTAGCAAACACAGATCTGGACGCTTTACCATTGCGCAGAGTTAACACTTTTTCGCGAATGCACCGTCGACAGATCCTCGTATCGGAAGCTCGCTCGTCAACCTGCCACTCTTGAAATATAGCTAGTTATCATTGATGGAGGCCGTCTGCAACGTCTGCCGCAACGCCGAGCTCTTCGGCATTTGAGTTCGCCTCGTCTTCGACATGTTCTCCGCCGCTTGAGCTGGCGGTGATGGTGTCGAGGCCAAAATGCGGAGCGAACACTACATCGTCGCCGCCTCTGCTACTCGGTTAACCACTGCCCGAGTCGTCAGGTGGTGATGAAGCCGATGACATGGCTGTGGTACGGATAACACCGTGCGACGCTCGCAACATGGTCAACACACTGACAGCGTGCGGAAAGCGCTGCTAGTAGGAGACGACGGCTCTGAATCTTAAAGCTTAAGATGTCACACACGCCCTACCGAAACGGCAGCCACCAGCATTGGGCGGATTTTATAGCCGACGACTTCTACTGCTTACTTTTGACAGAAATAATCTTTCATGGTTCAGCTTTCATGTGCCTACAAGAATACTTGACTATATACTATAGTTTTTCACCGAAAACTGTCAATTGTTGAGTGAATATGTCATTACCCCTTTATAAAGTGACTGGATAGCTTCCGATACAAATAAATGCTGATAAGGTGGGATACATGGCTATTGCTATAGAGAAACGTGACTTTGGCCAGACGTCAACTAAAGCAGGAATAGCGGGTGTGGCTGGTTTGAAATGTGTAGTATTTTCGTATAATTATGCTGATAATCCCATGCACGCCTTCTCTTTACCTGTCTGTGTCGTCGTTACGGCTGTCGAAGCCTCTCCGCTTTGTTAGCTTGTTTCCTCCGGAGTGAACGGGCTGAGCCATCTTGGCGTCATGCACTCCCCGGTTTCTTGGCATTTAACACATTTTTTTTTCACAGGAGCGCCAAGATACAATGCCGGCAAGCGTCCCCGAGTGAATGCCAGCAGCGAGATCTACATTCGCTTGCATACAATTTTTCTCAACATGGAGTGGGTTAAATACGCACGTGAGTCGCAAAAAGTAAAACAAAATACAGCCTCCGCCAATTGCTTCGGTATATTTTAGATACGGTGTACAATTTTTAAGGAACTGGCTGTATTTTTGGTGCGTGCAACAGTGTGAACGGTGCTGCATGGTACTGAATAGAGATACTGCTAAAAATTGTGGCATATTCACGGAGTGAAAGTTGATGAGTGAGTCGAAGCGCTGGAGGGTTTCATTGCTAAACCGTGAACCATCCTTGAATATCACCCATTTTATCATCAAACATGTGGCAGACACTGTATATATTGATAAAAGAAATTTTACGCTTGATAAGTGGTAGCTACACATCGTTTCCGTTTTTGTTACGTAAAAATAAGTGATGTACACAGTGGGACAATCTATGGTTCATTAACGCGCACCTGGGTACAAGTACACGACCATCTTGCATTTCGTATTGAGTACTTCTCAACAGTAATTGGATTATGGTTGTGGATCGGTGATGGGGCGTAGTGGGATGTTTGCAAGGACGGTGTAGTAGGCTGCTGGCAAAGGTTGAACTTTAGCCGGTCACGTACATACATACAAGATATAGACAGACCCACGCCTTTGGGATCTTTGTCCTTTAAAACGTACCTTCGTGGATGTATCTTTTTTTTTTTGCTGTACTCTATACTGGTTGGCAGTTGCTGATTTGAATAACATAAAGGCGTGGAATATACACGAAAGAATCCGTTATAGTTTTTTTTTTTAAGTTTTCACACAGAACTGTGCGCACCCGCACGGTACCAAAAGTGGGTACCCTGCCGCCGTTGCAATGTCGGCCTTGTCCTTAATTATCATAGTGAGTGTGTTTCTTTCGTGGGATGCTGTACGCAGCGATGCCATCAGATTTGTTTTTTAACGTTGAAGTGGGCTAACTATTGCCAGCTTTGTGGACTTCTGGGGGCTAACTGCCAAACATACATAGGGCACCAAGCCCCAGAGAGTCTGCGAGAAAACTGGCGTGTCACATGGGGTCACCCGTTCTGGGGATGGCTCTTCCTACTAGAAAAGGACTTATTTTAAGAAGAATTGGTGCTTGCTGAATATTATAATGCGGCGCAAAAATATACAATGAACACACCCGCGAAGCACACACTATAGCACTTGTGGTGTGTATAGTCCTGCGTGTTCGTTCTGTATTTTAATGGTACATTTGGATTTTTCTCCTACAGTCCTACTTTGTCAAGCGTATATATATGCCGGACAAAGAGTGCTTTCTACCTCTCTCAATGAAATAGAGGAGGAGACCAGCAGCGGAGGGCAGGATCGCCCTCGGATGTCAGATTTAGGGCGGCTTGCAAACGCTTTGGCAATGTGCATAGTTGCGCCGTAGAAGCGCTGCGCCCCGGGCACTTGACTTCCAGCGTAGGACAGGTTTTGGACGCTCGAGCGGCACCTCAAGCCTTCCATTCGCGGACGAGAATGGGTCTGAGGGGCAAAGCTCCTTAGGGTGTGGGCCTGTCCATCCTTCGAGGGTGTATGTAGCCACCGGTGGCACATACCCAAAAGAGCGGCCCTTAGATTGTCCGCTGGATGGCAGCACTTGAACATGAAGAATACATGATGAAAAGATGTGAGATGGCTGTACTTGGAGTGTTCACTAGACAGACGGACGTACGTATTGTAGGGACGTACAATAGACGGACGGACTGACAATTGCACAGACAGAAGGGTGGACGGATGGACGGATGGACGGATGAACAGACAGAGGGACTGCCACATGGACAGACGCATGGACAGACGGGTGGACAGACAAAAGAACGGACGTACGGACGGGCGGATGCGCCGACGGTCACACGGATGGGCGGACACACAGATGGACGCACGGACGGACGCATGGATGGACGGAAGCAAGAACGAATGGGCGGACGAAAGCATGGACGGACCGACGAAAACCACCCCGCCAATCATCATTCATTCCGTGGATATGCTGTGATTTTTTTTGTTTTCTCTATGCGCTACAACAATGCTATAGTGTCTTGTCATAATTATTTTGTTTTCTTGGTTTTCCCACTGCCTTACGTCACCAAAAGTGTGATTGTGTCCTATTGTTGCGCAGTTGCTATTGCTTGAAAGAATGTAAGGCAAGGTGACTTTACATGTTTTGGCACAAGTTTTATTTCTTCGTGCACTGTGTTTGCATTTGTGTGATTTTGGATCAGTCAATTCCCGTTGTCTGCTGTCTGTCGGCTCTGTCTTTCAAACCCAATCAGGCATTGGCAGGCATTAGCATTCGCATCGTTATTTTCAAATTGTTAATAAATAATAATAATAATAATTAATAATAAATAACCAAAACAGCGTCGGCAGTCTTGAAAAGATTGGGCTGCGTGCCCATTGATAACTTGGGGAGTAAAAGAGGAAAATATCCGTATCTGTTCCAACCTTTCGTCGTTTGTGGGCTCGCTCCGTCGCTTCTGGTTATTGAAAAACAATGCAAAAAATGTTCG